ATAGAGATTTAGCAAAATCCAAGGATTAAGAGGGTAAGCGGCAGGGAACTATCTGAGGTCAGTTAGTCTCAATCTGCTTTTCCCTCAACTCCTCACAAGTATGGCCTTCTGCAATACTCTGATTTACTCGATGAACAGAGCTGAAGAGCTGTGCTGAGTCACAGCACTTTAGAAAAAAGGCGATTTCCAAGGTAATGAAACAGGAGATAAACTACAGCAGTCTATCACTTTAATACCCAGTAGAAAGTGATGTGCCATTAAAAAGATACTGATTTAAAGGTCACGGAAGTTCAGAGCAGGGAGAAATTACTTTTGATTGCAAGGTAGAAGAGGAATGAGAATTCATGCAAGGCTTCATAAGAGGGACTGGAGATAGCACAGGAAGGATTTTAAAATGGAGGAATACTTTCCAGGGAGAGAAAATACCATGTGCAGAGGCACTGATCAAGGACATATGTTAAAAATGAAGTCAGGTGACGGGCTTTGAATCCAAAGCACGATTTTGTCTCTTTTCCCCTTAGAATCCCTTTTGAGTACAGCTGTATGTTTCTTCATTCCATAATTCTTACTGCGTATCAACCACAAACCAAGCACTAGCTAGTGCTCTCAAGAGGGAGACTATAACGTTTTTGACTTACTGGCAACAATATGTAGTATAATTTGCAATGAGAAGACTGAAACCAGCGAGTGGCCACTATGTGCTTGATGATGTTTGGAATAACAGCCACTACGTTCTTGACACTGCTTGGAATGCTGCAAGTTAGCAATTGTTGTTGTTAGGTACAGTCAAGTCTATTTTGACTCATAACAACCCCACTGACACTCTCCAACTCTCAGCCACTACACTTTCTGTGTGTACTGGGTCACAATATAAATTTATTGTGGGTCAAGGTTAAAAATATTTGAAAGTCAACTTGTTTCTTAGTTGGTAACGGGGAATCCAAGATTGAGAAGAGGAGAGGGCTGACATGTCGTAGGGTTGGCAACCAATGTCACAAAACAATACATGTATTAATTGTTCAATAACAAATTAACTTGTGCTGTAAACCTTCATCTAAATTACAAAAATGAAAAAGAAAAATGTTTGAAAGCCACTCCCTTGGCACCTGTCCCTTCTCCTCTTCAATACTTGGAAAATTCTTACTCATTCTTCTACCTAGGTCAAGGCTTCCTTGGTCAAGGCTTTCCTGACTCCCCACAGGAAGCTGATGACACCAGAGCACTTTTTTAAAGCACTTACCACATTAGGTTTTTACGTGTGTCCCCTACTGGACCAAAATCAAAGACAGCAGGAACAGTCTTATTCATCTCTCAGTATTGAAGAGAGAGTGGCTTCCACCCTACACTTAGTCCAAGAGACTCCTACACCTCATCATCAAAGAAAAACCAACTGCTGTCGAGTCAATTCCGACTCATAGCGACCCTATAGGACAGAGCAGAACTGCCCCATAGGATTTCCGAGGAGCTGCTGGTGGATTCAAACATACTGACCTTTTGGTAAGCAGCCAAAGCAGCCCACCAGGGCTTCCATCCTCATATATCCACCCTTAAAGACATCAATGATTTTAAGACTCTAACTAAAAGCTTAATAAAAGTTAGCTTAGGGGACCTCATACCACCAAGGGAGCAGTGCCGGGAGCAGAGCGTGTCCTTTGGACCCGGGGTCCCTGCACGGAGAAGCTCCTAGTCCAGGGAAACATTGATGAGAAGGCCAATAGAGAGAGAAAGCCTTCCCCTGGAGCTGATGCCCTGAATTTGGACTTGTAGCCTACTAGACTAAAAATAAAAGTGTGGGACCTTGTGGCTGCTTTGGACCCCTGTGCTCCTGTAGGGACTCTCTGCCTATGGACCCTTGTGGAGCATTCCGGAAGAGTTTTCCGACTCCAGTTTGATTAATTCCAGATTATCAGTAGTTCACATGACGACACAATCCTCATCTGGGACTTCCTAAATGATCCAGCTGCTCAAGCTGAACCCCCCTGCTCCCCTTCTCGAACATACACCTGTATCTCCAGATACATAATCATACACTGACCTCATACTTGCCCAGGACTCATTAAAGTTGCGGTATTTAACGTATCTGCCAACGCCAGGATGAGCAACAACAGTAACAATCAAACTACTACCCAATCTCCCTGGACTAGCCGAGGAGCAGAGCTGGGAGACTCCTGTCGGGACATAGCTGGTCTGCAGTCGACCCAGGACGGTCTACTCAGCACAGCGGACTGCATCAGTGCTGCTATCAGAAGGTGTCTGTATCTTTCGTGAATGATTGGAACTTTTAAACCTCACCTCCCCCTGCTCCTTTTCCCTCTGCACCTGTTTTTCCCCACTGGGTTCCAGACAAAGATGACCTATAAATATATTTAGTGTTTTGCCAGGAGGAAAAAAAAAAAAAAGTTAGCTTAACCATTCTCATCAATTCCTCCAAGCCCTAAGGTCCTCTATTAACACTACTGTAATTCCTTCAGCTGGATACATGAGAGTAATAAAACAACTTCGTATTTTAAAAAAGAAACTACTATTCAAATGTTGTTTCACTTCTTACTAGGTCTGCTGCATACCTACAAAGGTAAGGTGTGTAGAAGGAGCTTACTCCAGCAGCTCGTAAAATAAACAATAAGCCAGAAACAATCTAAAAAGCCATCAACTGGGAAATGGTTAAAGAAATTGTTGCACAACTCTATAATGCAATACTATCCCAGTCTTTAAAAGAAGTATTCATGTCACAACATGTATAAACCTTGAAAAATTATGCTGGATGAAATTAGTCAGTCACAAAAGGGCAAATACTGTATGATCTCGCCTATATAAAATAGGCAACTATACAGAAACCAAAGATTATTAATGGCTACCAGTGGTGGGAGGAAAGGAAAAAGGAGTTTTTGTTTTGGGGGGGAGAGGTCACGGAATTTATGTTAACGGGGGTGGAATCTTTTGGATGAGAATAGTGATATGGTGATACAGGAAAAATGTAATCAATGTAACTGAGTTGTAAATGTGGAAGTGGATATTTTCACCATGATAAAAAATACAAGAAAGAAAAAGCATTATATGTATACTTTATGGAAAGCTGTCCATGATATTGTTATCTGAGCAACTTAAGGTGCAGAACAATACATACAAAATGATCACGCTGTTTTTTAAAAATGTGAATATGTGAAAAAGAAAAAGTCAAGAAGGATATAACATCAAGCAGCTAGCCTGAGTAGGGATGGTGGACTGTTAATTTTACACTTTAGTGTTGTGTGCATTTTTTTAATAGGCATGCACTATATTTTTTAACTGTAAAAATAATACGTTGGGATCCTGACTAGTACTATGAAACAAAATTTTGTGAAGTAAATACTTTTAAACTTAATTATTTTTCATATCAGAAATGTATGAGAAGCGAGAGTAATAAATCTAAACTGAGATGTAGTACTACTTAATACCTAAAGGTTCGAAGCATCTTTGACAGATTATTTCTTCCGCGTGCCCACATGCCAAGGCTTAGCCCAGCTTCCTAACGAACATAGATCTTTACCAGTGAAAGAAAAGAGCAGCACCATTTCCTCCTGCTGTAGCTTTCAAAGCAGTGGTTTTCAAACTTTAAGGCGTTTAAGAATATTGGGAGATGCGCTGATTAAAATACATATTCCCGAGTTCCATCTCCTATTTTGTTTCGGGAGGCCTGGGTGTGACTCCCAAAATGGACACTTTCAAACTGGCACTTAAGTGCCTCTGACGCAGATGGTCCGCAGTCCTGAAAAATACTATCTTAAACCTTAATAGCAAAGTCATTCTCCCTGTCCACCTCTCTCTCACCCCTTTTCTCCAAAGTGCCTCTGTATTCCAGCGAAAACACCGTCAATCGAACCATTTCGATTTTAGGTTTGTAACTAGTTGGCGGAAACATCGTTAACACTCCACTTCCATTTTATCTTTCGAGAACCTCCAGTTCGCGGGAGTTCATCTTACAACCCTTCCCCCACCAGCCCTTCTTCCGCCCGGTGCGACCGTCCTTAACACTGCCACCCACACAGCAAACTCCTCCCGCCCGCTACCCACCTCCGGGGCCTGCAGAATTGGCTGCACCGCCGCCTGCTCCCCAGATCGTAGCTTGGCCTCCCAGTCCCAGACTCCTGACACCCCGCAGATGAAACCAAAGAGCCACACCTTACGGCCACTCCATGAGTCACTCCTCTGCCGAGCTCCGGGAAAGGGTGTCAGTCACAGAGCCTAAGGCCTCGGGAACATTTTGAAACGGCGAGTAAAGAAGGCGCAACTTCCGGCGTCTCAAACCCAACCCATACAGGAACTTCCGGTGACGCATTTGGAAACCATAGATAGGGCCATTTGGAGGACTAGAGAGCTAGAAAGGCTGAACTCTCCCTACCATAGAGCCGATCCTAATCCGAGGGGAGAGTCGGAGGAGCTCGAAGAGAGAGAGGTTTCAAGAGAAAAGGTTTTGGAGAAATCGCAGCGTCTCGTGATATTTACAGATGTACCTCCACGAGATCAGAAAACAGGGAGGAGAGAAACTTAAGAACATAACTAGAGGCAATCTTCAGCTCTTTGGAAGAACTCCCCCTTTGCTACTCCCTTTGTTCTAAAGCGTTTAACTTGACCTCAGCGTGACTTACTCAGGCTTACCCTCCAGGGGTAGCTGGAAAGAGAAACAAAACTTCCTAATTGGGGAAGACAAGACTAGTACGCACACAAAGAACTACAAGATATTATGTGAGAAATGCTGTAAGAAGGTACGAAGACCATTGAGACAGCTTATTTTGGATCACAAAATCAGGTCATTTAGTCTCTCTTTGCTCCCAGTATAGAAGCGCGTTCAATAAACGCGTCCCAGGCAGGCTGTTTTTAAGGACGACCAATGCCAAATAGATCATTGTTGTTGTTAGCTGTTGTGGAGTCCGTTCCGACTCATAGCGACCCTATTACAACAGAATGAAAACTCCGTGGGTCCTGCGCCATCCTCACAATCGTTGCTATGTTTGAGGTTGTTGTTGCAGCCACTGTGTCAATCTATCTCGTTGAGTGTCTTCCTTTTTTTCGAAGACCCTCTACCAAGCATGATGTCCTTGTCCAGGGACTGGTCCCCCCCAATAACATGTTCAAAGTACGTGAGACAAGTCTCCCCACCCCGGCTTCTAAGGAGCATTCTGGTTGTACTTTTTCCAAGACAGATTTGTTGGTTCTTCTGGCAGTCCATGGTATATTCAGCATTCTTCGCCAACACCATAATTTAAACACCGTAATTCAAAGGCATCAATTCTTCTTCGGTCTTGCCTATTCAAATGTCCGGCTTTCCCACACATATGAGGTGATTGAAAATACCATGGCTTGGGTCCGAGGCACCTGAGTCCTCAGAGTGACGTCTTTGCTTTTTAACACTTGAAAGAGGTCTTTTGCAGATTTACCCAATGCAATACGTCGTTTGATTTCTTAACTGCTGCTTCCGTGGGCATTGATTGTGAATCCAATCAATTGGAATCTTTGACAACCTTAATATTTTCTCCATTTATGATAGTGTTGCTTATTGGTCCAGGTGAGAGGATTTTTGTTTCTTTATGTTGAAGTGTAAAAAGTTGTCTTCACTTTCAGCAAACAAGGTTGTATCATTGGCATAACGCAAGTTGTTAATGAGTCTTCCTCGAATCCTGATTCCGCGTTTTTCTTCACATAGTCCATCTTCTCAGAGTATTTGCTCAGCATACAGATTGAATAAGTACGGTGAAAGGATACAATCCTGATGCACACCTTTTCTGATTTTAAACCACGCAGTATCCCCTTGTTCTGTTCAAATGACTGATTCTTGGTCTATGTACAGGCTTCTCATAGCACAATTAAGTGTTCTGGAATTCCCATTCTTTGCAATGTTATACATAATTTGTTATGATCCACACAGTCGACTGCCTTTGCATAGTCAATAAAACACAGGTAAACAGCTTTCTGGTATTCTCTGCTTTCAGCCAAGATCCATCTGACATCAGCAATGATATCCCTTGTTTCACGTCCTCTTCTGAATCTGGCTTGAATTTCTGGCAGCTCCCTGTTGATGTACTGCTGCAACCATTTTTTAATTATCTTCAGCAAAATTTTATTGCATGTGATATTAATGATATTGTTCAATAATTTCTGCGTTCTGTTGGATCACCTTTCTTTGAAACTGGCACAAATATGGAACTCTTCCAGTTGGTTGGTCAGGTAGCTGTCTTCCAAAGTTCTTGGCATAGACAAGTGAGCACTTCCAGTGTTGCATCCGTTTGCTGAAACATCTCAACTGGTATTCCGTCAATTCCTGGAGCTTTGTTTTCCACCAATGCCTTTTGCCAAAGGTTGAATGTCGATCAGTTCTTTTTGGTACAGTGACTCTGTGTATTCCTTCAATCTTCTTTTGACGCTTCCTGCGTTGTTCAGTATTTTGCCCATAGAATTCTTCAGTATTGCAACTCAAGTTTTTAGTTTTTTCTTCATTGTTCAGCTTGACAAATGCTGAGCACATTCTTGAATTTTTTATTCAGTTCTTTCAGCTTGAGAAATGCCGAGCATGTTCTTCCCTTTTGATTTTCTAACTCCAGGTCTTTGCACATTTCATTATAATACTTTGCTTTGTCTTCTCCAGCTGCCCTTTGAAACCCATTCAGCTCTTTTACGTGATCACTTCTTGTGTTCATTTTAGCCACTCTACGTTCAGAGCAAGTTTCAGAGTTTCTTCTGACATCCATTTTGGTCTTTTCTTCCTTTCCTCTCTTTTTAATGACCTTTTGCTTTCTTCATGTATGATGTCCTTGATTTCTTCCCACAACTCATCTGGTCTTCGGTCATTAGTGTTCAATGCATCAAATCTATTCATGAGATAATCTCTAAATTCAGGTGGGATATACTCAATGCCATACTTCGGCTCTTGTGGGCTTGTTTTAATTTTTTTTCGGTTTCAACTTGAACTTTCAAATGAGCAATTTATTATCTGTTCCACAGTTGGCCCCAGGCCTTGTTCTGACTGGTGATATTGAGCTTCTGCATCATCTCTTTCCACACATATAGTCAATTTGATTCCTGTATATTCCATCCAGCGAGGTCCATGTGTATAGTTGCTGTTTACATTGTTGGAAAAAGGTATTTGCAATAAATAAGTCATTGATCTTGCAAAATTCTGTCATGCGATCTCTGGCATCATTTCTATCATCAAGGCCATATTTTTCAACTACTGATCCTTCTTCTTTGTTTCCAATTTTCACATTCCAATCACCAGCAATTATCAATGCATCTTGATTGCATGTTTGATCAAATTCAGACTGCAGAAGTTGGTAAAAATCTTCAATTTCTCCATCTTTAGCGTTAGTGGTTGGTGCCTAAATTTGAATAGTAGCTGTATTAATTGATCTTCCTTGTAGGTGTATGGATATTATCCTATCACTGACAGCATTGTACTTCCAGATAGATCTTGAAATGTTCTTTTTGATGATGAATGTGATGCCATTCCTCTTCACTTTGTCATTCCCAGCATAGTAGACCATATGATTGTCCAATTCAAAATGGCCAATACCAATCCATTTCAACTCACTAATGCCTAGGATATCGATCGTTTTGCATTTCATTTCATCTTTGACAACTTCCAATTTTTCTAGATTCATAATTCGTACATTCCACATTCCGATTATTAATGGATGTTTGCAGCTGTTTCTTCTCATTTTGAGAAGTGACACATCAGCAAATGAAGGTCCTCAAAGCTTGACTCCATCTATGTCATTAAGGTTGACTCTGCTTTGAGGAGGCAGCTCTTCCCCAATTGTATTTTGAGTGCCTTCCAACCTGAGGGGCTTATCTTCTGGCACTGTATCAGACAGTGTTCCACTGCTATTCGTAAGGTGTTCACTGGCCAATTTTTTTCAGAAGTATATCGCCGGGTCCTTCTTCCTAGTCTGTCTTAGTCTGGAGGCTCTACTGAAACCTATCCACCATGCATGACCCTGCTGGTGTTTGAAATGCTGATGACATAGCTCCTAGCATCACAGCAACACACAAGCCACAACAGTACATCAAACCAACAGATGAGTGGTGGGGTCCTCTACCATACCAAGCATGATGTCCTTCTCCAGGGATTGGTCCCTCCTAATAACATGTCCAAAGTATGTGAGATGAAGTCTCACCATGCTTGCTTCTGAGCATTCTGGTTGCACTTTTTCCAAGACAGACTTGTTCATTCTTTTGATAGTCCATGGTATACTCAATATTCTTCGCCAGGGCCTTAATTCAAATGCATCAGTTCTTCTTCGGTCTTCTTTATTCATTGTCCATCTTTTGCATGCATGTAAGGCAATTAAAAATACCATGGCTTGGGTTAGGCACTCTTTAGTAATAGGATTTTTATTCTTTATTGTAAGATGTAATCCATATTGAAGGCTATAGTCTTTGATCTTCATCAGTAGATCGTTACTGCCTCCAAATACCTAATTTCATTCATTTTAACATGATTCTAAATGTTAGAGGATTTCACTGAGCTGAAATATATTGCCTTGCAATTTCTATCGGTCCTAGTTTAGCATTTTAGAGAACAAGGAGTAAGTCTTCACTCTTCCCAATATGAACACTATTCAATTCGGTGAAGACAGCTACCATGTCCCATCCCTAACCCTCCTTCCCCCACCTACCCTACCCAAGCTAAAAATCCCCAGGAGCATTAAACTACTGATTTGACATGACTTCAAGCTCCTTTGCCACCCTGTTTGGAAGACGGAAAAGCATCAGTTTGTCCTGTTTAAAATGTGGTTCCCAGAACCTATGCAAAGTAAAATGGGGCAAAGACTGCCCTTAATTTGCACATTGCACCTTGCTCTACTTCTAGTGTAACCTGTATAACTGGGAGATCCAAAATTCTGTACATGCAGTTGAAGAATTAATTTCTTTTCCACAGTTGCTCATAGAGAGCTTAAAGTCAAAAACCACCTCCCTCAAAAAGGGGGAAGGGCTTTTTTAGGTGACCTGCTTCGACTGTTTCCCCTATTCTTTTGTGCAATTATTATTATTTTTTTAATTCTCAAACAAGAATTTGCTTTGTCTATTTTAAAATAGTATCTGGTTAGTTTAGATCCCTTCCTGTCTCCTAGAGTCTTCTGGAATTCAGATCCTGGCATGCATTTCAGTTTGATTAAGAAAAGATGCTCAACTTTATTAATAACATGGAAATATAAATCAAAACCACCGTTAGAAATCATTTCACATCAATCAGATTGGTTTTTAAAATACCTGACAAATGCCAAGCATTAGCAAAAAATGTGAAGCAACAGAATTCTTATACATTCCTGCGAGGAATGTAAACCGTTACAATCACTTTGGAGAGCACTTAGGCATGATCTAATAGAGCTGATTACGTGAATAGTCTATGACCCAATAATTCCACTCCCTTGAGTGCACATGGAGACGATACAAGAATGTGGATAGCAGCATTGTTTGTAATAGCAAAGTAAAGAAATCGGTGTATTCACTAGTATACAACAATTCATTATAAAATTATGCAATCCAATATACAATTCGTTACTATGAAACAGTGAAAATGAACTAACTACATGAATCAATGTCAATGAACTTTGGAAACTTAATAAGCAAAAATGTAAGTTGCAATAGAATACGTAGTTTTATGCCATATATAAAAAATTGAAAGGCATTAACAAATATTGTTTAGTAATATATGTACATAAACGTCCTGAAAGTCTAAAGAAATGCATGACAGGA